TTTCATTCAAAAAGAAGAAGAAAAACCCTATAAAACATGTTTGTTTGTACTATTCTTTGTAGTTTTTATCTACTAATGGCTCATTGGCAGCCTTAGTTTGGTAGTATAGGCACAGTTTCAATCCTCCAAATGATTCCCCTTTTTCTCAACCCTTTACCCAGTGCTATGCCTTTGTTTTACGACAGTATGGTGTCACATTAACCATCAGTTTGACACAATGATCCAGTTTACAAGAAAAATTATGTTTGATGTGATTCTTGCAATGCTGCGTGAACATCTTAGGGAGATATTGATCTTAAATGTGCTATAAATACGTTTCATTTTATCCTGATTAAAGACAGAACATTTGTACAATGTAACTACATAATAGATATTTAAAGCACCATTATGATCACAATAGACAAACAACGGCATTGTGTGAATGTCTTACAAGATTTACTTTTGTCATACAGGATATCAAATTCATTCTATTCTGACACGTTTTCAAATTGCAGGTACATTTCCTTAATGGATGAAAATAAAACAAGAAAAGAGAGTAAGAACTCATCCAGTTGACAAGGTCAGACAGGAAATGCAAGAGACGAGAGGAAGCCTAGCTACGTAACAAATGTAAACAAGTGCAGAGAAAAACATCCTTAGTTATTAAGCAGGTGCATAATTGAATACGGCAGCTGCTAGCCATGAGCTAAACAGGAGATTAGCTTACAAACGTATTATCGCACATTCTTCCTGCTCTAGACACCTTCTGCATATGAATCAATTCAGATGACAGCAAGAGGTGTGAAGCATCTATTTAGAAGCCGCACAGAGTGAAAAAAAATGTGCTAATGTGATAGACAGGAAAAGGGAAGAGGGAGTAAGTGAGGGGGATACGAGCTGAAAAGGAGAGACGGGTTAATGTCACAAATAAATGACAAAGTGAAACAAAACAAAAATCACAGCAGGAATGAGGGAGCACGCAGGAAGGAGAGATAAGACCTTTTGTCCTGGAAACTCAATGCAGAACTTTAAATCAAGCAGAGAGATTTAAGCAGTTGTTTGCAATGCAGCTTCACTTGTTAACTGGAGATACCTTTTTAGAAAATTGCGACAGTTCTTCTAACAATCTAAAAGCTCTAAGCTGGAGACGGAGCTTCTGTGAGATAAACCTATTTCCTGCAGGTATAAAAATACTTTTAAAAGATTCAGGAATACGATTTTTTTACGATTCTGTAAAAATTGGGTTGTCATTGAAACTGATGGATAAAGACTCTTTTTAATGCTGGACTGCTCATTGAAAAACGAATATCCTATATACAGTACTTGTGTACAACCAAAGTTAAGACCTGTGTCTATAAACTCAAAACAAAACTGCTTGTAGGTATTGCCAACCTTTACAAGCAGGTATTGTTTCTTTGTGTCTGATGCAGCAGAAGCCTCAATCTCCATACATCGTAGACCAGGCCCGGTTCTACGGGGGTGCATAAGGGTGCATTGCACCCTCAGTTGAGTCGTTATGCACCCTCATTTGAAAAATGAAAAGTGGAAGAAAAAAAATTAAAAGTGAAAAATATTACATGTATAATATTAATAATAGTAGTAATAATAACAATAATAATAATAAGAAGAATGTAGTTGAAATAAAATAAATTGTGATTGAATAACATTGTCTGCTGCATTTATTTGGTCAATTTAAACGGTAAGTAGGCCTAACGTTATTATGTCAGGTGCGCGTGACCTGTGCCGCTGCGCGTTCGTCATCTGCAAGGTGCTTACACAGCAGCAGTCAATGGTGGACATCAGAAAAAGGTTAAAACAACCAGCCCTTATCGCCAGTAGTAACACTGCTGCAGGTAGGCTAATAACAGTTCAGATCATGGGGACATTACGTTACCCGCGGCCACTGTCGTGGACACTAACGTCCTCCCGCCCGACTCGCCGGCTTTGCCCCGCCTCGCCCAAGGAGGCGGAGCAGCCGCAGCCGTCTTTGTTGCCCCAAACACCGCCATCCCTCGGTGGCCCGCAAGTGCCAGAGGACCTCGGCAAAACAGAGCCTGCCCAGATATATTTAAGAAATTACCCAACTTGCCTGTACAGTGGGGTAAGGTGCTCATTTTGCAGCTCATAGGGGATAGGACCCGTATAAGAGGAGGGAGATGACTACTTATAAGGTCGTT